GACCGCCATCACATAGCTGGAATATTGATGAGTGTGGCGTAAAGCAAAACTCACTCACTTCACCTGCTTCTTGAGTTAATCTCAATGATGACAAACATGACAAGCATATATCTGATTGTTTGTGAAGTCAACGGGAGTCTGAGAGATATTTTTGTATGCCTACATTGAGAACGATTCATCTTTGTGGGTATAGGTTTAGCATTATTCTGGTTCGTATCACATATATTATTTGAATTCATGAACTGAGTGAATGTACTTCACTGGTCCAAAATAACATTTGTAGATTTACTTAACTATCAATACAAAGTTCACTGGCCACCAGGACCACTGCAAGCTTATTTAGTGGTCGTGATGAATTTTTACTAGCTGGTGGTGGTCTGATTAATTGAAATAATGGAAAGGCTAAGCGACCAAGCAATCGATCATGTTTTCTCATAATCGAACATGAACAATTCTGGAACACTTTTTGCATTAACAATATTTTTCACAAGGTTGGTTTTCTAAGTTACATTTCACAACCACTACAAGCTTGTTGCAAGTCATGATTGAATATATCTTAAACACTCCAGAAATGTTATGTTCCTAACATACTAGTAATCCTTTCAAGATGTGTAATTTGCCAAGAAAACCCTTAAAGAACTACATAAATGAAGCTAACCAATTATTTTCGATGATTGATTGGTTGTAATGAAGCAATCATCAAGTATGAGGTTTTAACCAATTCCCAACACTATTACTAGCCAGGGACTGCAGGACCAGCATAAAATTCACATACAGTGACAGACTAGACAAGCGCATAACTGACTCTCTGGTAATTAAGTCTGAGAGGTATCGTATGTTAATATGAATAAATAGAAATGTTCATGAGATAACTTCAGGCGTGAATTACTTGACTTGTATGTATTTGTCCCCGTTCACTAGGAAATGGAACCACTGGGTTGGATCCACACTCAGCCGAACGAACTGCCGCAGCTGTCTCCCCAGGACATCACGACACACGCCAAAGTGATGGCTGACAATTCCAGCTGGGATGGAGAGAAGACTGTTATCATCACATGCAGGTAGGTTGACTTTCTCAATAGTTGGCTTCTGTTCAAGCAGGTTGTGTCATCTCACATACTGAATCACTTTGAGTATGGCTGTCCGATAGTTCTTTAGGTTTACTGTATATTATGTTGTCTGCTGGTAAAACATATAAAGTCTGCATAGGTTGCTTGGAACATGATTGATTGTCATGATTGGTTTGTTGTTTAACGCCACACTCGGCAATATTCCAGCTATATAGTAGCGTTCTGTAAATAATCGAGTCAGGACCACACAATCCAATGATCAACAGCATGAATATCGTCCTACGCAGTTGTGATACAATGACATGTGTCAACCAAGTCAGCGAGTCTGACCACCCAATCCTGTTAGTTGCTTCTTACGACAAGCATTGGTTACTGAACACCAATTCTAACCCGGATCATGGGTCTCTGATTTTATGGGGCAAGTAAATACATAGAAAGGTCAAGATAGGTTACATGGTATGCCATTGTGTGGATCAGTTTTCATGCCAGTCACTGGCTTATCTAGTCCTGACAACATATCATGTTCCTAAGAGCAGATTAAAATGACAAACAAAACACTAGTTGTGCGAGGTGCTGTGTTTCTCTGTTGAGAGTTCCATCCCACAGTTCATTTGAAAGCTGAAAGAACTAAAATGATAATATCATCAGCGTCCTTGGGATATTTCTTGCATTGATCCTTCATTGTAAGTCTGTAGTGTCAATTGGTATTGTATATTGGCTTCAGTGATAGTGGGTATATGGTTCTGATGCTGCAGGTCTTGTTGTTGTACACATCACTCAGCAGAGTTGTTTCTGTTTGACAGTTTCACCCCCGGCTCCTGTTCACTGACAGCCTACAAGCTGACTCCCAGCGGTTATGAGTGGGGTCGCCAGAACAAGGACACCGGCAACAACCCCAAGGGTTACCTCCCCTCTCACTACGAGCGAGTGCAGATGTTGCTGTCTGACAGGTTCCTTGGCTTCTTCATGGTGCCTGGACAGAGTTCATGGAACTACAACTTCATGGGTAAGTATTACCACAGCAAAATCACTGAATTCTATGTAAAGATTCATACACTGGCTGTTACAGATTGTGTTAAATTTCGTTTTGGCAGTATGGAACTCAAATCACTGTTTCAGCAGTGCTTTGTGGGATTTGCAGTTTTGATCTCTTAAAACCCATGGTAATCCTTAACATTTCCAATAAAAATATTGCTCATGTCAGCTATTGGCAATTTTCAGGTGTTCGCCATGACCCCAACATGAAGTATGACCTTCACCTTGCCAACCCGAAGGAGTTCTACCATGAGGTTCATCGCCCTTCCCACTTCCTGAACTTCAGCACCATGGAAGATCAGGAGGTGATCGGCGCAGACAGAGAGGATATGTTCCAGTGAGAGTGTGTCCACTCTCCCCCCAGTTTCAACATGGGGCACAACTTGACTGTGTTCACGTGGACATTAGTTACTTTCCTGTCCTTCAGATTATTTCAGTGTCACTCGTCAGCAAAAGTTCATGCATCCATATTTTCTATTTTCATCAAATTGCATCCAATTTCATCCCATTTTAAGAGTATCATGTTGTGGAACATCTACTTTTGAAACCTGAATTGTGAATATGCCAATGAAGACCTGGCATGTGATTACATTCTTGGTTATCTGTACCAGGAAGCACTTTCTGGTGAGATTTTTGCGAACTGACAGGTGTGTCGCCTGCTGCAGTTCACCATGAAGTGCCCGAGTCATTCCAGTTATAGTGCTATTTGTATTTTCCTACATCCAACATACTTAAAAACAAATATCTCAGACCTGTGTCTGATTGCCCAGACATCAGAATTAGAGGTTTGGCTTTTCAATGTGATAGATCAGCCTTCCTTCACATTAATATACTGTAATGTTACATGTACTGTTAAATTAGAGCTGGCTGCTGATAACCAAGTAAAAATCGATTATAAATCTGAAAGAAATCAAGATTGGTGACGTGTTTGTGCATCGATTACAAACAAAACAGCGTCCTGAACATAATTTGGAAGGAAGAGCCCAACTTTGTGTATTATGTGAGTAAATTAAAACTTTTTGCATCACAATATCGATAACACAATATCATATTGATAAATCATCTTTTACACCAACAATGTTTCAGATAATCAATTTGGTAACCAGACCTAGTATGTATTTGAATCTGGTATCTCGGCAGTTGTAGTTGACATGCACCACTTCACCCAGGTATTTTTAAGATATATTTATTTCGATGCGAATAATTATCTGTTGCTGACTAGAAATTGATAATGATTTCTGATGATGACAAATGTAACATTTTGAATGTTTTACAAGTGCTGGAGATGAGTAATATGGTGACCAAATTGTTGTATATACTGTACAGTTTGCTGAACTTGTACAGTTCTTGTAATTCACTTTGCAGAACAAGACAAGTTTGTATTTTACTGTTATCACTCCTCGTCTGAATTATGAGTCTGATTCTGTAAAATGTTCGCTTCTAAAGACATGCTATCAATAATGTAAATATGACATCATGTACATATTTCCCTAAGATGTGAAATAAATTTCTATCAAATGGTCAGTTTGTTACGGTGCCTGAGTGATGTTTGTGTGTATTATATATATCACGAAACTTGTGAGAACAATGCTAAACTGGCTTGTTCTTGCAAGTGTTCCTTTTTAATGTAAGAAAAATCACAATATTGCTGATCAGTCAAGATGACGTTAGAATTGGGCTTCACTCTTCCCAATTGCTCATGATGTTGATAACTGGATTGTCTGATCCAGAATCTAATATTAAGAGCACACATTGCAGAGGGTGGCATCAAACAAGCACAACTTTGCTGAGCTAATTAAGTGTTTAAATTAAATTTCAAATGAACATCAGCATCCTAAACTCCAGTGATGGTGAGAAACATTTTTATTCCAAACCCTCTTTGAAATTTCACAAGCCATGATGTATACAGAAATAAGTCAATGTATAAAAGTGAGTTTAACCCCTCGATAGTATGTATTAGTTATATCACAGCATATCATTTAAAGTCGAAGCAATGATTGGGTATAACCCACCAGCACCAAGTTAATACTATAGGCACTTTGGCATTCTGGAAATGTTCCATTTGACAAACTAGTCCACAGCAAAACATCATCTGGAACCGCATCAAACCCTGGATTCCAAGATGAGCTACCAAAACGGTGCACTAGGTACATGTAGGAAATGTCTATAACAAACCCGTCAACCCATGAAGTGATATTATCCTTGACAAGAAGAAAGTTTATGCAGTACTTGTCTGAGGCATCACCTTTGGGTCATCATTAATGGACCGCCTCCGTGGTGTAGTGGTTAGAGCGTCCGCCTGGAGAGCGGAAGGTCGCAGGTTCGATCCCCGACCGCGTCATACCAAAAGACGTTACAATATGGTACTTGTTGGTCCCTGCGTGGCGCTCGGCATTAGTGGGTACAACAAGGACTGGTCGGCTCGGAGTCAGTATAATGTATCTGAGTAGGGTATTCATGCTTCACTGCGGCATGGTATCTCAGTGGGCTAGCACTATAAAAACAGCTCAAGTCTGAGCTAGTACAAGCAGCCACATATACACATGCACGTCATCATATGAGGGAAATATTCTCAAGCACGATGTAAAACCCAATCTCACCTCACCTCATCATTAATGCCACAAAATGGATACTTTTAGAGGGCAAAAGTCCTTAAGAGCCACATTGCTCTGTACCTCACTTCAATTATGAGTGAGTTTTCGTTTAACAGTGTTCCATTTTTATTATCACAGTGTGTTGACTGAATGTGGGAGTAAGGCCCAAAGAGAAGCAGGTCCTGGTTGGTTAAAACTTTGGTGAAACCTTCAAGCAACCTTTACATCTAAGATAGTCGTAAATGCCTATCTTAGCTCTAAGAGAGCTTCGAAAATCTAGGCCCAGGTTTGGTGCTGAATCATCAACTGATGGTGGCCACATTGTCAGACTGGAATTCTTTAAGCACATTTTACATATAGCTGGGATCATTCCTACAAAGATTAAAACTTCATGCTACAGCCTTAGTAGTTAGAGATATAAAAAATGTGCGAATGATAAACAAGGGACCTGGGTGCCGTTGTACAAAGCAACCTTATTCTTACGACTGGCGTAGCGCTATATTAAGGTATGGGAGTTACGATCATCTTACCGCTAAGGTTGCTTTGTACAACGGCACCCAGGACGTGACACAACATAAAGCTCAGTTTCAGTCACATGAGCTATTAGTGAATGTTGTACTTTTTGGATTAAGACAGCACAGAATTGACTAAGTTTGATGTCAGAACAAAAATAAATCTGATGAGATCAATAAGTTCCTGAACTTCCCTTGCAATAATGAATGTTAAGATGGTACGCATATGTTACATTCTGAAACGTTGTACTTCATAATACTGTATTAGTTTGATGTCGTCCACTAGTAGACACTGTTGCCAGAAAGGGAACTGGAGCTGTCGGATTTTCCGGCGGTTTTATGGGAGCCTTCCATTAAGTCCACAATCAGGGCTGTCCAACCAGTCTGATGGCTGAAACAGCAAGTGAGATGGTTTCAACAGATATCCATTGTATCTCAGGATAACGGCTTCATGTGGAAAGAAAGCTAGGAGTGATCTCGGAGTACCACTTGGGTGAAACATGGATAAGAGTTCCGCCCGTAAACCCCGCATGAAATGTCAAAGTGTAAATTGGTTTTGTAGTGAAAATAAAAATTAAAGGGTGGGGTTGGTGTTCGTATGCATCAGAGTGTATACAAACTCACTAATGCTAATGATAAAAAAACGGGTTACGGACGGAAATCTTTCCAAAACACAAACCAAATAACAGTAAGGGTAAATGTGGATTCAAACCCCCCCCCAAAAGGAGGAAAGAGACAGGTGTAAGGGTCATTCTTCCCCCAAGGCACACAGGTGCATCTATTTTTTCAAATCCAACCATATGAAACGTTGATGGGATACCTATTTATGTACTTTTCCTTGACATATTTTAAAAAAATAACATATTTTGGTGAAAGAACTTGAAAGTGAGTAATGGTTAATACACAAAGAAACAATCGCAGCACTACGATTGTCGTAAGTCTATGTTAAAATATGGGGTTATGATCAGCTAAGAAAGCTTTGTACAACGGCAGCCAGGAAGTGTGGCTTCTGTGTTTGGACATACTTGCAAATACCTCCAGATCTCATTTCTCTCTGTTGGGGCGTTGGGGATGCCTAGTTGTTGAAGTGTTTGCTTGTCATGCCGAAGGCTCAGGTTCGATTCCACACATGGGTACAATGCGTGAAGCCCATATCTGGTGTCCCCAGCCGTGATATTGCTGTAATATTGCTAAAAGCGGCGTAAAATCATATTCACTCACTCACTCAATTCTCTGTCACCTAGCATATCAAGGGTATCATTGAAGAACCAATCTCACCTTGCACCTAAACCTTTCCCAGTATCACCATGGAAGTATTCATAGAAAAGCAACAGGTCCTTGAAGTAAGGATCTTTGGCATACCGCTCCTCTTCACCTGTAAACCAGAATTATAACAGTTAAGGCTGTAGCATGGAATCATCAATTAATAAACATATTATAACTTTACCTCGACTCACAAACATGCAGGTCCCAGGGACACCTAATTATTAGTTTTGATGGTTCTGTGAAGTAACAGTGTAGAGAACTGTACATTTTCATAATTTCTTTACAGCCTGGAATGAATCATTGATTATGAGTGCTGATGGGTGAAATGATGCACGTAACCTCTCGGAAAGAAACAATCAAAGTTAGCAAAGTCATAGATCTGTTATGGGTACAGCGAATAATATTGTGCGTCCCTCTGGAAGCAGTTAATTTTGAGTGAGTGCGAGAGCATGGTTTTACGCCGTTTTAGGATTATTCCAGCAATATCACGGCGGGGGACACCAGATTGAATTTTGAACATAAAACAGTGTCGCCTGGTCATAATACTGACAAGCCAGTCCTCTTCGCTCATCTTGCTGTACTTGTAACTGAGTTAGATTCAGGAGATACAGTCATCTAGGTACACCGCAATTACCTTACAGAGAGTTTTGGCCTTGCAGTAGCACAGTGTTCATGAATAACGTCTGACCCTCTGACAAATCCGGCAGATTCGCCAACGGTCAAACAGAAGTCTACAACCCAGCGGCCCCAGTGCCTGACTGTATATTTCACAATGACTTTGACTGAAATTGTTTTATGTGACATGTGACACTTGTTTGCTGTTTATAAATCTTATGTTTGAAAATAATTTCAATGTCAATTATAAGAAATATTAAATCTGAAATGTGTGTTTAATTTTATTCCATGGGTCCTGTCCATTTTCAGTGGGACAGACAGACATCGGAAACTTACAGGACCCAATGTCCTGTGACTTTGAAACACCATTCGTGAACACTGGTAGCATAGCGGTTAAAGCCTTTGCTCATCATGCCAAAGACCCAGTTTGATTTCCCACATGGGTACAATGTTGTTAAAAGCTGTCTGTCACTCAAGTTGCTTTCCTTTGCTGTGTCAGTTGCTTAGAGCCTATCATAATCAGCAATGCTCAAGGGGAATACCTTGATGTTTTGATGTTTTGATGTTCATGTTTCTACCTCTGAAAGAACAGGAATTAACAGGTACTATTGGTTTGATCTGTTAAACCGAGAGATGGAAACATTACCTCACATAATACCTTTTTCTCAAATTACTCACCATGAGATGCTCTGTTGCCATAGAGATCAGGGACGAAGAGTCGGGATATTCTCCCTGACAGTTCGCGTGCCACATCACTGAGTCTCATGTACCGCCCTGATCGTGTGGGACACTCCACCTGCAGGGTGTCACCGAAGAAGTAGTCATACCGGTGCAAGGTCTCGATCAAAATGTAGTTCACTGCAAGAAGAGACACATATTTTAATTTAAGTGAGTTTAGTTTTACGCCACACACAGGGATATTCCAGCTATATGGCGGCGGTCTGTAAATAATTGAGTCTGGACCAGACAATCCTGTGATCAACAGCATGAGCATCGATCTACACAATTGGGAACTGATTACATGTGTCAACCAAGTCAGCAAGCCTGACCACCCGAACCCGTTGGTCGCCTTTAACGACAAGCATGGGTTACTGAAGATCAATATTCTAACCCGGACCTTCATGGGTCTATCAGTTGAAGTACATGAACTAACTTCCTTGAGGGAAAAATAATGCTGAAAGTCATATTCAATAATAATGGACTAATGCCAGTTTCATAGTGTCAACCCCTGATATATCAGGCTGCTGTTTAGCAGACACAGTATCCTGACTCTGAACTGACCAGTCCTCTGGGGTTTTGTTTCTTAAAGGCACAATGTCACACATTTTCGACAACATTTTGGCCTATAATATACATTCTGGGGCATATGCCCTCACTTTAGCTTCCTATTGATGCAATAAAAGATGCAATAATTATCCATTACGACTTGCCTGAAGTTGATAATTGAAACTTGAAGGCGAACGGCTTCCAAACAGAGAACACTTGCCATATATGGAATGTGAACTGTCGCACACGGTGTTGTCGGTGTTGCCAAACAGGTTTCAATCACAAGTTGTGCAAAGGATATTCTTAAAGATATAATTCTATGGTGTTCGCTTGAAATAATGTTCGGCCGGTAGAAGCCGTGAGAGTCGATTTGATGCAACGTTACATTATTTCATTCAAACGTTTTAATTTAATATTGTAATCTAACTACATTGTACTTATTTGGGGGGGTATAAATTATAAGGTAGCTTCCATGAGGGCTGAGTTAGTATTATTGAGAGAAATACACCCTGTATTTTTAGACTGACTGAGTTTGGTTTTACGCCGCTTTTAGCAATATTCCAGCAACATCACGGCGGGGGACACCAGAAATGGGCTTCACACATTGTGCCCATGTGGGGATTCGAACCTGGGTCTTCGGCGTGACGAGCCAACGCTTTAACCATTAGGCTACCCCACCGCCCTGTATTTTTAGAGAAGTGTGGTGTGATATAGTGCCTTTAATGATGAGCCCCAAGCAACACAACACGAAATATGATCATTTAATGTCTTTTGCTGTAAGAAGACCGCGGAGTAAACCACAGCCCTTCTGCTCTCCAGGCAGATGCCCTTGGCCTCGTTCCTCAAAGCGATCATAGCGCTACGGCTGTCGTAAGTCAAAGTATGGGAGCTACGATCACCTTAGGGTTACGGTCGCTTTGAGGAACGGGGCCCTGACCCTTAAACAAACCAGCACAATTTGTTCTTTAGAACACGAGAGGTGTTAAAGAGTGAATGTTGCTTTATGGCACAGACCGCAATATTACAGCCCTGTCTTGGCAACCTGTAAGCACGACCAGGCAAACGTGTGTCTGACCACATTAAATGTCAGGGCCCCATTCCACAAAACGATCGCAGCGCTAACATGATCGTAACGCACGTACTTTAACATAGACTTACAAGAGCCCAGGACACAATGAACACACTCAGTCATTGGTGTCCACAAAACAAAAATGAGCCACACAGAAAGAGACAATACTCCAACAGTTCTTTGAGAACTAATAGTATCAGATTACATCTATACGCCTTGATAAAATCTCAATCGGTTGTATGGTAAGAATGGAACTCACTTGGAAGCCATATTGGACCCCTCCAATTGCTGTTTCCCCCAAACATGTTGGTAGTAGATTCTCCCGGCTCGTAGTCAACACAGAATGATTCATGGCCAGCAGAGAATGTGAATGGGTTGTCTTTGTGATACTGCAAACAGAGTAGGGATTAGCCTGAGTAATTCAGTACATCAATGTGACCTGTCTCCGATTTCTCAAAACAAACTTAAGTTTTTTACTCAAATTACAAACTGAGTTTGAGATTTTGACTCAGCTGAGGTTTTAACTCAGAATTTGAGATCAATCGCAGTTTATTTTTTTGTAAGCGGCCATGGCAAAGAAATCAACTTCCGTTTCTAATGTAAACAAGGAAGAAGTTGTGTGCTAGAGAAACGAACGCTATATACTGGACAAAATAAGTTAGGGATATTGGTATTTTTATGATTACTATTTTATCAATATATCCCTAACTATTTTTGTACAGTATATGTCAAGGCAACAGAACAGCTGTCATGTATCTGAGCTAGACAGTTTAATCAGTAGTATGACACAGTTTCTAGAAACAGTTCTTGTACTCTCATTCTTGTCACAACATGATTTGTTCCTTTAGTGAGGGAAGACTTTCATAAAAACATGTCTGACTGAGAAAAACAAACAAGTACGACCTTGGCAGTGACTTTGACCTACTTTGGAGAGAGAACGGATGCCATATGGTGAGAGGAACTCGTCTTCATCCAGAATGTACTCGAGCATCTTTGAGATCTGTTTCCGAGTGACCATGGACAACATGTACACCTCCTCTTGTTCCCCTTTGACCATGAAGGAGATCTGTGGACAACAAAGTACTCATTACAATACCATGTCATTTTTGCACTTAATCAATAAGGAAATCTAATTTAAATAAGTCTTATAATCAAAATCTGGCCACCTATCCTAATTTTCTTTAGCTGTTACACCACTAGTGTACAAATGACTAAACATGAAACTTGAAGTGTTTCTTTCATAAGTAATATAAAATGAACAGATCTTTCATATCTGTTTGTTTATTGTTTACTGTCACACTCAGCAATATTCCAGCTAGATGGTAACAGTTTGCCAAAAACATGGTAGAATCTGGACCAGACCATCCAGTGATCAACATAATGAGCATTGATCTACACAACTGGCATATGATGATGTGTCAACAAGCATTGTCACTAAGGTGACATAATCCCCCGCTGCAAACTTAAAAAGTAATGAAAGTTTAAGATGAAGTTAAATGTCAACAAAAACATGACCAGTCAACCTCTCTTGAAATCTTGCCCTTTAGTTGTTCAAACACACAAATATTTTCAAGACTGACTTTGACCTTGACATGAATGTCATAGTGTATGAAATATGCAAAAATGGTACAAAAGAAATTTCTGAAAAACATTCAAGGAAAGTCTATGAAGAAAATCCAGTGAATTCAGGTTAACATGCTGAAATCTTCAAAGTGTCACCATGACCTTGAAAATTACGTGAAGGTCACCAAAATCGACTGGGCCCTGTGCCTTCCCTAGATAAAGCTTGGTGTTGAATATGAGTGAACCGAATCTAGTGATCGGTTCTAGAGATATCTCATTGACAAGAGTAAAACGTTAAAGTCCCCTTGTGATCTTGAAATGAAGGTCAAGGTCACCAAACCTGACTGGGTCCTCTCCGATACTGTGATGAACCTAGGTACCAAATATGAAGAGAATCTAGTCAACGGTTCTTAAGATCTTCCAATTTGTACGTATGTACGGACGGAGCCTAATACTATATCCCCCGCTTCGCGCTAAACGCGAGGAGGGGATAACAAAGTCAGCGAGCCTGACCACCTTATCCTATTAGTTGCCTCTTATGACAAGCATGGGTTACTGAAGTTTAATTCTAACCCTGATCTTGACGTTTTTTCACATCTGTAAAGATGACGAGAGTGTAACTGACTTACGCGAGAAGAGAGATCCTTTCTGTGATCCATGAACCACTTGGTGCGTTTGCTGAATCCCGGGTGCCTCTTCCTTATGTTCTCATCAAGCACGAAGCATGTGAACAATGGGATCATTCCCACCACGGAGCGAATACGCATCGGCACCACTTCCTGGGCATGGATGTGGTCGTAGTAAAAGCCATCTCTTTCATTCCATAAACCTACAAGATAGTGGACTTCACAATAGATTGTTTGTTTGTTGTTTAATGCCGCACTCAACATTATTCCAGCTAAATGGCAGCATTCTAAAACAAAATTGAATCTGGACCAGACAATCCAGTAATTTAACACCAAGAGCATCAATCTATAGAGATTACTTCACTATAGAAGCCATCATTCCATAAACCAACAAGCAAGACTGTAAAGTTAAAAGCACACTATCAACAGACTCTTTTACTGTAGCTCACCTGGTTATGTCATGACTCATTGTTACTGCATCGACTTATGTCTGTGACTATATTTAATAAAGCATTGACCATTGTCTCACATTGTGTGTAATATAATTCCACAATGCCTGGTGTGAAGTTCAGCTGCTGTCTGAGTTGATTGGCACTTTGAAGAACCTGTATGCCGTTGTCCAGATAATCGGCACTGCGTAGACCTCGATGCTGCAGATAGGTGCCGATAAGCTTGGTTATTCCATTGGAAGTACTAGCCTCTGATTGCAGTGATGTTACTCACTTTTGGATAGATAAGTAAAATTGATATTTTATACTTATCCTGACTCATGATCTTTTGCTTATCTCCCTTTCCCTTGCGAATGGTAGTGGAACACTTGAATCCCTTGGAGTTCACGAAGCGGACGTAAAAATACACTCACCCACGAGTTACCTCCCTTTTCCCACGTAAACAGTCATCTCTCCTGATTTTTCTGCCCATGCACTTGGATCTGCTGTGAAATCCGAAGTGTTTCCAGCGGGGAGGTTGGGAGGGCTTGACCTCATGAGTCAGGATAAGTATGAAATATCAATTTTACTTGAAAAATTGCATATTTTTCCTTATCCTGACTCATGATATTTTGCTTATAGAATCCTTCGGATTGGTGGTGGGTCAGGCCACTTCCTGGATTCATCAGCTGTCCTTAGATGCATCCTGTATCGCCCCCCATGGGCATTTCTGGGATCCTATTCTTCCAACTTCTGTTATAACTCGGGGGGACCACTTTCTTGTCTTACTTCAATCTCAGACAAGTTGAATCATGTTGATTCATGTGGCTTCAGATATACTAGTTTCTTCTTATTACTAGATATCTATAACAACCCATAGATTATGATAAGATCTTTATCATAAATGAGTTGCGACCCCTTCACGTACAGGTAAGATCTTTACCCGTACAGGGTCTTTAATCACTCATGCTAGTCTGTCCTAGACTGTGTGCATGGACTTTCAAACTAATACTTTTCCTTAGTAAAAGTTATCGACAAGGCAACGTGATAAAGGGTGCGATTTTCCAACTCAGGGCCTTTGAGGAACTGTTAGTTGCTGTGCTACAACGAGAGGCCCAAATTGGTGAATGCCTGAGACATCTTCAGTGGCTATGTCTCGGAGGTAGTGGTTGGCAAACACCGTATCCGACTTCCAAAAGCAGCCCTCCATAATTGCTGATATAGAGCAATTTCCGTGCAGAGCTAATGTTGACGCCAGTGCTCTGACTTTGTGTGGGTTGGAAGCTCTAGGAGGTTCTAGTCCTGCTGCTTTATAGGCTCTCAATATGATGGCTCTCATCCAGAACGATATTGTCGTTCTTGAGACTTCTGAGGATGTTTCTGTACATAATGGGATGAACAGGCACTTGAATTTTTGTCTCCTTGTTTTAGTCTTTTGAAGATATATCTTCAGGGCTCTGACCGGACACAAGGATAGGTCCTCCATATCCTCTAGTCCGAGGATTGTGGATAGCGCTGGTACGTGGAACTGTCTATCTGGTTGATCAGGTAGTTGGTTCTTGGCAATAAAGTCCCATCTAAGTCCTAGATGAACTGCAGCATGTTGTCCCGTGTCGAATCTGGTTCGACCAAAGTCCAGTGCATGTATCTCTGATATTCGAGCTGCCATAGCTAACGCAAGCAGGAACAGAGTCTTCTGTGTTAGCAGCTCGAAGGTAGTCTGGTCTAGAGGTTCGTAGGCATCACTCGTAAGATGACGTAGAATTACATTCAGATCCCAGGCCGGAACTCTGAATTTCTTTTGCTGGTCCTCCAGTTTAAAAGATCGCAGCAGAGCAAGTAATTCTGACATAGATGACATAGGTATTCCGCCACTTGAGGATGAGTAGCTTTCATAGCAATGAAGCCTTTCCGCCTTGCATAAGTCTCAAACTTCTGCCACTTGTCGTCATACAGGTTACGAGTGGATCTGCGTAACGCTAAGGTTACTGCCTTGGCTGCCCTGGCGGAGTATCCTCTCTTCTTCAAACATGTTTTGATACGGTCCACACATGTAGCTGGAACAGAACTGGGTTCCCGTGGACTTGCTTGGTGTGCGGATGTATGAGTAGGTTCGGCCAATCTGGTAACTTGATTGTTGGACTTCCAAGATCTTCTGTTAGGTCTAGGAACCATAATCGCGCTGGCCAGTATGGCGCAACCAAGGTCAGTTGTAGCGCCTGCGTCTGTTTGATCTTCAACAGTACTTTCGGTAGTAATATCAGTGGTGGAAACACGTAAGCGTTTAGTCCTTCCCATGATATGTTCAGTGCATCTGTTGCCCAGGCTTGAGGATCTGGACCTGGTGAGACAAACGTCTGTAGTTGTTTGTTTAGCCTCGTAGCAAACAGGTCTATGCATGGGGATCCTATTTCCCTTATGATGAGCCGAAATGCTTCTGGATGAAGCATCCATTCTGTAGGTGACGGGTGCAGTGGTCGGGTGAGAGCGTCTGCAAGCACGTTCTTGGCTCCGAGTATGTGACACGCCTTTATCCAGATGTTTGCCTCCTCCGTGATGTCAAACAACTGGAATGTGAGCTGTAGTAGGCTTGGTGATCTTGTAGATCCTTGCCGACTAATGGAGAATGCCACTGTAGGTTTGTCCGTGTGGACCATCAGCACTCTGTTGATCAGCGAGCTCAACCATAGTTGTAAGGAGTTGATCACAGCTTTCATCTCCAGCAGATTGATGTGAAGATGTTGCTCTGTTTTGGACCACTTCTTTGATGCAACTTGATTGTTGAGATGTGCACCCCAACCTTGTATCGAAGCGTCTACGTAGAGATGTGTGTCGAAGGCCGGCTCTTGTAAATAGGTCCCTCCGCAGACGTTCGACCTGTGGGTCCACCAAAGTAGATACCTCTTGAGATTGTCTGGCAGCAAGATAGGGTCGACGCTGTCCAAATGTTTTTGTCAGGAACCGTTGCAGCAGCTTTAGTTGTAACCTTCCTGTGCGAGTCAAGTCCTGCGCCGAGGTTAGTAGACCGAGTAGACATTGCCATGTTCGTAGTGTAAACAGAGATGACTGCTTGTGGAATCATGGCTTGTATCTTGACCCAATGATCTTCTGGGACCACAATTCGATTCTGTGTTGTGATAATTCTTATTTCCAGCAATTGAAGATCTTGTTTTGATTCTAACTCAAACTTCATCAGGTTCACTAGCCATCCTAGTTGCGTGAGCAACTTAATTGTGAAGTTCACCTGCTGTCTGAGTTGATTGGCACTTTGAAGAACCTGTATGCCGTCGTCCAGAGAACCGGCACTGCGTAGACCTCGATGCTGCAGATAGGTGCAGATAGGTGCCGATAGGCTTGGATATTCGTATGAATAATCATAGAGCCGACGATATTCCAAACGGTAAGAAGGTTCCATTGGAAGTGCTAACCTCTGATTGCAGTGATGATACATCATTCTTCCCCTTATATATGCAGGCAATCTGTGTTGATCAGCATACATCGAAGCGTTGTCTATGTATAGCAAGGCTGGCTCCAGTGTAGCATCGCAGGGGACAGGTACTCAACATAGCACCAGTATTATGAATTTTAGCAGTTTGCAGGCTGATCTCCTGATTTATCAGCCGTGACTTGTAATGACTTCCTCACCCGATCCATGGCACGTCTATAGATATAAGACAAATATTGATTAAATTGTAGATTTAATAAATCAACACAATAAGTACAGCTCAAGCTGGAAGAACATGGTTTGATGCACGAAGGTCATTGGGGGTGAGGATCAGCCATGGATAACCTGTGCCTGCAAACACTGCAAGATTTCATGAAATGTAAACAAGTTACATTACGATGAAATTATGACACAAATACATATAATTTTTACAATTTGTTTACATATAATACAAAGTAGTTATTGCCAAATCCATACACAGCGTTATTTTTAAGAATAGGATCTAAATTAAAAGGATATAATGCCGTATACGGGACTCCAGTGCTCACCCAACCATCCGCTTGGGTGAAAAGGGAGAGAGTGACAAGTAAGGCTGGTCACATGACTGTTTACATGGGAAAAGGGAGGTAGCTCGTGGGTGAGTGTATTTATACGTCCGCTTCGGGAACTTCAAGGGATTCAAGTGTTCCACTACAAGTTCGCACGGGAAAGGGAGATAAGCAAAACATCATGAGTCAGGATAAGAAAAAAATGGTGAATTCTGAAGAATCACAATAGAATTGTTGTTGGTCCAGTTTAAGAATTTCTCTACATTTTTGACACCTTGTATTCCTTGAAACAAATGGAATCAATCAGACCTACCTTCTCCTGTACCGGCCTTGTTCATAGCATCTACTATGGAAACAAAGTGTTCAAAGAACTTGCTGGCCATGTCGTCGTAGATGGAGTCCCTGTTGGCCAGGATGAGGCTGATCTGCATCATGATGATACTGAAGAACCCCATCCACGCAGTCGCATCCGCCTGGACAGAGAAGACCAAACCCATTTCAAACAAAATTATCCCAAAATGCTTTTATGTATAGCTGTATTAGATACGTTGCTGTTGTAGCAATCTTGAGTGTGTGAGTGAGTATGGTTTTACGACACTTTTAGCAATATTCCACCAATAACATGGCGGGGGACACCAGGAATGGGCTTCACACGTCGTACCAATGTGGGGGATCGAACCCGGGTCTTCGGCGTGACAAGCGGATGCGTTAACCACAAGGCTACCCCACCTCCCCGTATCAAGCTTGAAGTTCTAGTACATGTTCGATATTTCCTAAACATTGAACTGAGTGTGCAAGTGAGTATAGCTTTATATTCCAGCCAGATGGCAAAGGGCACCAGATGTTGGTGGTGAAGCATTTGGGCCAGGTTGTAGTCAAAACCTTAGTCTTTCACATGACAAGCCGACACTTTATGGCTCCACCACCCTCCACTGTCAAAATTAAGTTATAGAAAATGAGTCATGAAATAAATTTCACGATTTTCAAACAATTAATGTCTTTCTTTTAGAAATATGAGACAACCCCTGAAGATTCGGGTTAGAACTCGTCTTCAGTAACCCGTGTTTGTTTGTTGTAAGCAGGGACTAAGGATATCATGTTTTTTATATGTGTTTCACGTAGCTACAAAATTCTGAACATGGGTCAGTCGGTCGGGGGAAAAAAACAACAAAACAACAAAACAAAACAACTTTATAAAGACAAAATTATCAAAATAATGTTCTAGATTCTCTTTTATTGTTTTTCCTATTACAATTTCTCACGTTGTTTTGACTTGTGGCAGCGACTGATTAAAACATTTTATATGACGAGGCAGTATGTTTTAGGTTTGAGTTGGAGGTGTTGGAATGCGGGGGAAAAAAAAGTTGGGGGGGAAAATATGAGAAGAGTCGGTCTGAGAAACACAAAAAACAAAGATGGTGCCCTAACGGGATGAGGTGGTCGGGCTCGCTGAATTGGTTGACACATGCCATCGTATCCCAAATGTGTAGATTTATGCTGTTGATCACTGGATTGTCTGGTCCAGACTTGATTACTTACATACAGCTACCATATAGCTGGAATAGTGCTGTGTGTAGTATTAAACCACAAACAAACAAATATGAGACAAATGCAGTTAATACCACAAAAATGGCAATGTTTTCTTTTCAGACTTAATCATTTGCCTCCCCTTGCCTAACTAGGAGACAGTGGACCACATACATTGCTTCAATCATTGTCAAAACCTGACTTTGTGTTCACCTGGGCCAGTACCCCTCCTGTAGGTAGAGGCTTCGATCTGTCAAACACACCGATGTTGTCCAGACCGAGGAAGCCACCAGTAAAGATATTATTGCCACTCGGGTCCTTCCGATTCACCCACCTACAACAGAGGGATTCAGTTACTGCAAAAGGGCACCTGCAACAACAATGACAGTTTGTGGAAGAAAGGTGACACTCACCATGTGAAGTCAATGATGAGCTTGTGGGAGAATGGCGACACTCACCAAGTGAAGTCAATGACAATCTTGTTTAAGAATGGCGACATTCACCACGTGAAGTTAATGACGAGCATGTGGAAAAATGGCGACACTCACCATGTCAAGTTAATGACAAGCGTGTGGAAGAAAGGTGACACTCACCACGTGAAGTTAATGACGAGCATGTGGAAGAATGGCGACACTCACCATGTCAAGTTAATGACGAGCATGTGGAAGAATGGTGACACTCACCACGTGAAGTTAATGACGAGCATGTGGAAAAATGGCAACACTCACCATGTGAAGTTAATGACAAGCGTGTGGAAGAAAGGTGACACTCACCACGTGAAGTTAATGACGAGCATTTGGAAGAATGGCCACACTCACCATGTGAAGTTAATGACGAAAATGCATGTGGAAGAATGGCGACACTCACCACGTGAAGTTAATGACGAGCATGTGGAAGAATGGCGACACTCACCATGTGAAGTTAATGACAAGCATGTGGAAGAATGGTGACACTCACCATGTGAAGTTAATGACGAGCATGTGGAAGAAAGGTGACACTCACCACGTGAAGTTAATGACGAGCATGTGGAAGAAAGGTGACACTCACCACGTGAAGTTAATGACGAGCATGTGGAAGAATGGCGACACTCACCATGTGAAGTTAATGACGAGCATGTGGAAGAATGGCGACACTCACCATGTGAAGTTAATGACGAGCATGTGGAAGAATGGCGACACTCACCATGTGAAGTTAATGACAAGCGTGTGGAAGAAAGGTGACACTCACCATGTGAAGTTATGACGAGCGTGTGGAAGAATGGCAACATTCACACGTGAAGTTAATGACGAGCATGTGGAAGAATGGCGACGCTCACCATGTGAAGTTAATGACGAGCATGTGGAAGAATGGCGACGCTCACCATGTCAAGTTAATGACAAGCGTGTGGAAGAAAGGTGACACTCACCATGTGAAGTTAATGACAAGCGTGTGGAAGAAAGGTGACACTCACCATGTGAAGTTAATGACGAGCTTGTGGAAGCATCGCGCCAGGAATGTTAGGTCACGCTGACCCCTGGGCCCTGATTTCTTGTAAACCCGAAGCACAGCATATGCATGGACAGGGGGGTTGACGTCATCTAGAGCAAACTCATATGCTGGTATCTGCAAAATATCACAACTGTTGCTGTTAATTATGTCTTGGCATAATTTCCTTGGTAATCATAGGTAAACAAGTGATACATTTCCTTCTAAAATCTTAGGGCTGGGGGTCTTATGAATAATAAAAATAAAGTGTCTGCTAGGTAACCGTTTGAAATATAATTAAAGAAAACAATGTTTTGGGGAAGTCAAACCAAAGAGTTAGTTCACTTTAGTCATTACTAATCACTCCATGATGACAAGACAACTATGTGAAGACGAGAAAGAAGTGTTACCTGGCCATTTGGATGCATGTACCATTCCCTGAGAAATAGAACCAGTTGTTCTTTGGCAAAGCTGATGTCGATGTTTGCAAAGGCTATCATGTGAAATGCAAGATCCCAGGAAGCATACTGCAACATACCACGTTTGCTAAAACAAATGTTTTCATTTTCATAAACACACTAGTACTTTATGTCTATCAACCTGTGCTTTCATTATGACTTTCAGGATTTTATTGAAACATTTGTTTTATCACATATATGTGTATGATATGGTACTTTAAGTCACGATTACTTTTGAGTGTGGGGTTGGTTCAAGGCCGAGAATGAATCCCAACTGTAAAATAATCGGGATCTTGAGCACCATATCCAACCTAAAACAAAGTCCCATTCAAAATATGTGCCAAAACATTGTCCACACGGTATATGCACAGATAGTGGAAGGTTTTTCTGAAGTTGTAAAGAGTTACAAGAGCTTGTTTCTATGTGATTATGTGCATCCAATATGACATCTTCAAACTGAAAAGAGTACAGCATACTGTCTCCATAATATAAAGATGTTTTCTGTACACCACTACCAATGACCATAAGCAGTTATGGAAAATCAAGTATTGAAAGTTGAAACTATGGGGTGTGGGTGGGTTGTTTTTTTTTAACATAAGTTGAAAACTATTGGAGGGCTTCAGACTGAATATTTGAGACTGTTGGGGACCATTCCATTGTGAACGTGCACGGCCAATCTGCAACTAACATTCATCTGACATTTTATGCATGAAACAGTAATATATTCACCCAGGGATACTCCCATTTGTCCGGCATGGCAATAACATCCCTGTTGAAGAGATGCGTCCACTCATGGTTCCGACCCTGCAGTCGTCCAGCTGGGGGGGAAGGACACCCGTGGTCACCTTTCAGCCATTCCTTCACAATGTAGCAGTAGAACTGTTTGCTGTACAACAAGCCGGCGTACGCCTGCCGGGCTATCAGCCTCTCGACGGGGCTCTTGCTGACGATCACCTGCGCAGACCACAACAAAGTAGCCCTGAGTGTCATTAAACACCAGACTGCAATAGTCCAGGGTCACGTTCCTCAAAGTTATCACAGCGCTATCAGGGCTCAAGATAATTTTTCAACATCAGGAGTACGTACTCTTTATTTGTTCAAAATAGGAGTACTGGAAAAACTTAAAGAGTACATTTAGAGTACTGAATGGAAATTAATGGAGTATCAGTAATCTTGTTCCGTTTCATATATGCACCACAACATTGCTACTCTTGTGTACACAGGTCAATGAACAATAAAATAATACTTTATCAGATAAATACGTCTGTAACTGATTCTAAGATTGTACTACATTGCTGTGGTGCGTATCTGCTACGTTTTCTAAATTATTTCCTTCCATACCGTGCATATTATTTATCTGTACATACGCCGACACGGCCCTTATCTGGAGCCCCGGATATGACAGTCGTAAGTCTGTGTTGGTTGGTTGGTTGTTTAACATCGCACTCAGCAATTTTCCAGCTAAATGGCGGCGGTCTGTAACTAATCGAATCTGGACCAGACAATCCAGTGATCAACAGCCTGAGCATTGATTTACGCAATTGGGAACTGATGACATGTGTCAACAAATGATCCCTTTAGTCGCCTCTTACAACAAGCATGGGTTACTGAAGACCAATCCTAACCCAGAACTTCACGGGTCTGGGGATACCAGAAATAGGCTTCATTCACTGTACCCATGTGGTGAATCAAACCTTGGTCTTGAGCGTGACTAGTGAACACTTTAACCACAAGGCTATCCCAATTTCCCCAATAAAATATTGAGGGGAAGTTGATGTCTAGGCATTCAACCACTAGTTGTCCTCAACTTCATAGAAGCTACCATGACGTGAAAGGAACACATTTGACATTATTTAAAAGAACGTCTAATGTTTGGGCATATTATTTTTGCTATAGCTATCATGACCTACAACTGAAAACAAATATTGCAACTAACAACACTTTGAAACTTTTTAAACATCATAAATGACAACATTAAAGGCACTATGTCACACCACACTTCTCTAAAAGAATATAATGCATTTCTCTCAATAATACTAACTATCAGCCCTCAGGGAAGCTACCATATAATTTATTCCAAAATAAATTACGTATTTAGATTACAATATTGTGATTGAAACCAGTTCCGGCAAACACCAACAACACCGCGTGCAACAGTTTTCGATGTACGGAGCAATTGTTTACATTCCATATATGGCAAATGTTCTCTGTTTGAAGCTAAAGTCGGAAGCTAAAGTGAGCGCATATGCCCCAATATAGTCCAAAATATTGTCGAAAAAATGTGTGAAATGGTGCCTTTAAGTGTAAAACCAACAACCTATAGGTACCAACCCATATTTGATAGGTCCATATGATGTGAAGCACTTCTCAGTCTTCAGTGTTGTCTGCTGATAAGGTTCAAAAGTTTAAAGGCAAGGTCACCAGCATTATTTCATTTACACTTTCAGTCCAGGGGTCGCAATAATTTGTTGACATTTCAATTATGATATTTTAAGGAGAAAGTACTCACATCATCATAGAATGCATCAGCTTCTTTAATCCTGGTGCAGAAAAGTTCGTTGAAGCTGTCATGGCTGATTGGGTGAGCTGGAACCTCGTTCTGACAGTACAGCCTCATTCTGAATGTGACATGTTCGCCAGCTTCGACACGTACAGAGTAGTGGGCAGCACACTTTGTTCCTATCTTTGCTTCATTCACAGCTTTCTTGTCCTCTAGAAACACGGTTATCATAAATCCATTAATAGTAACAACATACATAGTTGAAGGAAATAGGAACAATCTGGCTTTTGATGCTGATCTCAAATACTTTTTCATTGCAGAACATTCATACTTATGATCAGTAGTATGGAAAAAAGTATCGCAACATCCAAGTTTTATGACAGCACCCATATTTAATCAGTTTCTATGTCATGTGACTCTTCACAGGAAATTATTATGTAGCCAAAGTGATTAAAAGACTTTTCATCAACACAAAAGCCAACAATAAAGAATCTGAATGGTATAATTTGATTAAACATGGGTCCTGTAATAAAACTGAAATTAAGAAAGCATAATGTGTCCTTAAAGTATGGCAACACGATGCATCATCCTAATTCATACACACAATCCACAAATAAGGTCTCTAGTTTCAGAAACAGAAGACAGTCAGTATCTTGTGTAACCTCCGCCCACCTGGATGACGTTTACAACCCTCGTCCTCATGGAGTGCACAATCCGATGTTGGGGCAACCTGTTCCATTCTTGGTTCAATGTTTGCTCTAATTCATCAATATTCTGGACTAGCAGATCTCTCTGACGAACCTTACACCCCAGAATGTTCCAAACATGTTCAATTCAAAAGGATCAAAATCAGAGCTTCTGGCTGGCCATGGAAGAGTGGTAATGGCTTCTTGATATATTCCTCCATTTCCAGGAATACAGGAATGTTTTTAACACCACAATCAACAATGTTCCACTTACATGATGGCAGCCTGAGTGTGACCAGGCAATTGAGTGATTGATATTGTGAACAACTGTGAACGGCTGATTATGTCACACAAGCAACCAAGTCACACCACTTGATCCAGGCGGTTGCCCCTTGCATAGGTTGCTGGGGACCTACTCTAGCCCATAATCACAACGGGAATAATGGTGACATCTCATTTTTCATAAATGACTGACTGACTGACTGACTGAGTTTAGTTTTACGCCGCTTTTAGCAATATTCCAGCAATATCACGGCGGGGAGAAGTTGTTGAACACTAATATCCTAGCTGATCACAATCAAAGAAGTTCAACAATGAACCCTCTTTGTTTTGTGTACAAGTCCAGGAGCAACAAGCCCAACACCTGGACCCAGAGGTCGTAACGGCTACCTTAGGGAAAAGCTAAAGCCCCTCGAGGGTGAAAAGTGTTACATAGTTATTGAGAGAGTGGCGATTACATTATTCCATCAAAGACACAGTTGTGGAGGGAATAACCTACTGTGAATGACGTTGTTGTGGACGTAGTCTGTCTCACAGTCCCTGAACCACATTATTTTCCCTACTGCCAAGCCCTCCCTGCAATGCTAAAGCTCTAAGTGAAACAACTCTAGATTTCCTCAGGTTCAGACTGACTCTCCCATCTCGTCGGGGCTCTTTTCAATTTAAATGATTTATTGGTTGATTGGTTTGTTGTTTAACGCGGCACTCAGCAATATTCCGCCTTTATGGCATCGGTCTGTAAATAATCAAGACTGGACCAGACAATCCAGTGATCAGCATCAGAAGCATAGATCTACACATTTAGGATACAATGATATGTGACGACCAAGTCAACGAGCCTGACCACACGATCCCCTTAGTCACCTCTTACGACAAGCATGGGTTACTGAAGGCCAATTCTAACTCAGATCTTCACGGATAAAATGGGTTTATTTGTTACAATAAAATTTATATGTATTCAGAGACTAAGCGTTAGTCTGTTGTGGAGGGAATGACCTACTGTGAATAACGTAGTTGTGAAATGCATCCTTGACGTATCTACTGGTGTTAGGAGTTTTGAAGATACGCTGGTTGTTTGTTTCATTCTCTGTGAAAATAATCTCAGGGATTTCGTCACTTGGATCCTTGTCTACCTCAAAGAAGTATGTACCTAAACAGGAAACAGATACAATACTTCATGGATGACAGTTATCATTCATGTCATGTTTACGAAAAAATCCGACCAAAATTAAAAATGCATCTGCATTACAGTTCCACCGTGTACATATGTCTCACTCCTTCCCTGACCTAATATGAAAGGGCCTTAACATGATATCTTAGAAAATGTTAAGAGTTTAATCCATTGTTCGAATAAAATGTGTTTGTTGCCATGATACCTATTACATTTTGTTAGCCTCACTCAACAATATTCCAGCTATATGTCAGCAGTCTGTAAATAATCAAGTCTGGACCAGATAATCCAGTGATGATGAACAGCATGATCTACACAATTGGGATACGATGACATGTGTCAATAAAGTCAGCGAGCCTGACCAACCGATCCTGTTAGTCGCCTCTGAAGTTCTAACAGGATCTTCACGGGTATTTAACCTTTTGTGCGTACTAGCCTATATTACTAGACCAGACAATCCAGTGATCAACAGCATAAGCATCAGTCTACGCCAATGCATAAGGGACTGTTTTATACATCTGATTGAATAAATACAGCCATACCACACCAGAAACGGGTTTCAGTGAGTGAGTGAGTGAGTGAGTTTAGTTTTAGTTAATGGTGCGGTTTGTAAATAATCAAGTCTGGACCAGACAATCCAGTGATCAACAGCATAAGCATCAGTCTACGCCAATGCATAAGAGACTGTTTTATACATCTGATTGAATAAATACAGCCATACCACACCAGAAACGGGCTTCAGTGAGTGAGTGAGTTAGTGAGTTTAGTTTTAGTTAATGGTGCAGTTTGTAAATAATCGATTCTGGACCAGACAATCCAGTGATCAACAAAATGAGCATCATTCAAGCAATTTGGATATGATGCCATGTGTCAATCAAGTCAGCAAGCCTGACCACAATCGATCCCGTTTGTCGCCTCTTATGACAAGCATGGGTTGCTTAAGACCAATTCTAACCCGGACCTTCACATGTAACTTAGTACGTGAGGCATAAATTAACTATAGAACATACATACATAATCAAATCATCTTGTGTCAAGAGTATTTAGTAACTTTAATAACATGTCTAATTAATGTCAGTACCCAACATATTGTGAAAACTGAAAATACATTTACACATTCTCGCTTACATTCATCAAAATGCCATATTGTTTTAAGATGTTATGGTAACAACAAGCATGGGTGTGGTGCAGACAAACCCAACGATCACAATCACTGTCAATCTGGAATCAAACCCTGACAATGGAATCATGAACTGAATTGCAATAACTGGACAACACATGATCCACTAAGTGTGTGAGTGAGTGAGTGAGTTTTACGCCACTTTTAGCAATATTCCAGCAATATCATGGCACCAGAAATGGGCTTCACACATTGTACCCATGTGGGGAATCGAACCCGGGTCTTCGGCGTGACAAGCAAACTCCTTAACCACGGGACTACCCCAACGCCCATGACCCACTAAGATCTTGTGAAGAAAGGGTGACAGAAAAATCTTAGCTATTTTTCACTTCTTGCCTATTTGAATTTTGGCCACATCCACTCCACAGCAAAACAGATTCAAAAACATCAGTCAATATTCTACCTTCACAGTCTGTCATTCCACACAGACAAGCTTGGCAATAGGTTAAATACTTATAATTTCAGTTTTCATAAACAGAACAACTCACCTAGAGTACCATGTTCACACCGCACTTTGCCAGGCTCCTCCTGAGACATGCATGGCTTCTTCTCCATCCAGGACTGAAGTTAAAATGAATTCGAGTACAATGTTACTTGTCAGTTGAGAGGGGAGATAATTCTTCTTGAACAAGTACTCGAGGACAGGACCAAGGAGAATAGATACAAGTGAAGGCAAGGATCTGTGGGTTGACTCCATGACCTGAATGCCACACAAGGAAAACCACAAGTAATTTTGACTTTGAGGGATGTACTTTCCTAACCAACTCGGGACAATATGTCAAGTTAGTTATATCTGTCCAATAATCAAATTGCTTACATCACAGTGCTTGCCAAAAGACCAGACATTTCGGAACCAGAGCGTGGGGAGGATGTGGATGACCTCCGATGTGGAGCCCCTGTTGAAGATGGTGAATCTGCCCTGGATGTCATTCGGTGAAGCCTTGCAATACTCGGCTAACACGTCCCAGTAGCGATTATTGTTAAACATACCTGTCAAAAGAAAAACAGGATTTTGAATCACTTATTTTCTTTTCTGAGATGAAATAAACAATACATCAGGAAACTATGCTCCAGAAACGAAATGTGATCAAATGACCATTTTCTTATCCCCCCCAAAAAATTTGGGGGTTCAGGAATAAAAGCATGAACTAAAGATCTGAGTCTTCATATCAATATGTTGTTTAAATGCTATTTGTAATTCTGTTATATCAATTAGTTTTTAACAATCTGTTTCAAGAATTTTCCTGAATCATCATAAAATGCAAAGAAAATTTGAATTATGTTTCCATAATGTCCACCCTGAAAGTTACAAAGATGATTTTAGAAATAATCAAGTCCAGAAAACAAAAACTAGTAGCTGATAACTTCTAAAATGAAGATGCAGTAGGATCATCTCATAAAGCCACCGCATCATTAAACCTGATCTTATCCATACAACTGATTTTTCACTAATGGTGGTCCGATTAATTGAAATAATCGAAGATTGGTCGCGGTGACCAAACGACCAAGCAATCGAAAATGTTTTCTCATGATCGAACACAAACAATTTTGGAACACTTGTTTGCATCAACAATATTTTTCACAAGGTTGGTTTTGTCTGTGTCTATGAATTTACATTACATAAGCTCTACAGCTTGTTAGAAGTCATGATTGAATTTATCTAAAAGACTTCAGGAAAATTATGTTTCTAACATACTAGTCCTCCTTTATAGATGTGACATTTGCAAATGCATTTTGTGCAATTTGAAAAAGAAAACATCAAAGAACTACATATTTTTTCTTTAGTTTTCGATGCATTAACAAAGATAACAGGAACATTAGATAAATGTCGCTAACCAATTATTTTCGATGATTGATCGGTTGTAATGGACCAATCATCAATTATGAGATTTTAACCAATTCCCAACACTACTTTTCACAGGTAGCTCTGAACCAATTCTAGCTTGGAATTCCTAACATGGATATTGATTTTGGACAGAATTACATCCAACCTGTGTCCAGGAGTTCATACTCAGGATCTTTGACTGTGCGAGAGGCGTTCTTGTGGACCAGATCGGAGTAAGGATATTCATCCTGGGGGTACTTGTACAGCATCTTCATGTAGGCATGTGTGGGCATGTTGTCTAGATAGTAGTATAACTCCTTCACATCTTCTCCATGGTTGCCCTGTGGACAAAACAACAACTCAGTGGTACTGTAGTTCACCTTCATATCATATCATATCATATCATATCATATCATATCATAATGTTAGTCTTACATACCATAATAATGTTAGTCTGACATAAAAAAGAAACGATACCAAACATTTTTCAATATTTTTTCAATATATAATTAAGCAATCCTTTTTGTATGGAAACATACTTGAGTGTTACCAATGTTCCAAACCAAATGTATTCGATCGAAACATCCAGTGACCATGCCTACTGAAGACCCTGAACCACATTATTTTCCCTACAGTCTAGCCTTCCCTGTAGTGCTAAAGCCCTAAACGAAGCAAGTCTAGATTTCCCCAGGATCAGGATCTCTGGTCTCCCTAGGGCTCCTTTTCAATTTAAATGGGCTTGTTTGTTACTATCAAAATTATATATATTCAGAGACTAAGCCTTAGTCTAACTGAAGACCATGACATCCCGGTACTTCATCTCCGGAACTGCTTCATCACGGCGATGTTCACGGCAAGCATGGCACTGGAACAAGTGTACAACAACAAACCGTGTACAGGAGATTGCAGGCACATGGCATCGAAGCATGTGGCCCATACCGTGGAGCATTCCTGACACCTCAATAGTGAGCCAACAGATTGGTGTGTGCCAGGCGACTTTGACATTGGCAATGGTGAAACTGGGCAAGGGTCATGTTTTCCGATGAGAGCAGATTTTGCATCTTCAAGAAGATCGTCAGCAGCGTGTGTACCGAAGAGTTTGTGAAAATTGGCACAGAATTGCATTCATCAAGTCTGGCCATTCGGAGTTGGTCCCTCAGGTTTAATTGTTTAGGGTGGAATCTGCGGTGATGCCAAAATGAGGTTCGTCATTATTCGAGGAAAATAGATGCACATGGCTATCAAGATGAAATTTTATAACCAGTTGTGGAGCCACTCCTCCAACAACAGTCTCATGGAATAATTTTCCAGCATGAAAATGCGAACCCACATTCGGCAAGGCTGACTCAGAACATCCTCGCCAACGCCAACATTCAGGTTTTACCATGGGTGGTATATACACCGGATATGAACTCAATTGAACACTTATGGGACCATCTTGATTGCCAACTCAGAAATCGCCCTGTGCTTCCAGTCAACCTTTGGGAAACAATGCCTCCTTGATGAACTGACTGCCTGAGTTTAGTTTTACGCCGCTTTTAGCAATATTCCAGCAATATCACGGCGGGGGACACCAGAAATGGGCTTAACACATTGTGCCCATGTGGGGAATCGAACCCGGGCCTTCGGCATGACGAGCCAACGCTTTAACCACTAGGCTACCCCACCGCCCCGCCTCCTTGATGAATGGCAACGCAAATTTCCCCCCCCCCCACTTCATCAGCCCCTATGACTTTGAGATGTCTGTGGCAACATTTTCCACACTTGCCTCGTCATGTGTGTTTTAATGAAATTTCATTTTTGACCCTTCATGTCGTGTTTTAGTGATTGTAATGGATTGGTTCAAATGAATTTTTGTACAAGTGTTATTGAAAAAAATTCTCAAAAGTTAAATATACCAATCTAAAATTTCTGTATCGTTTTGTTTTTCTTTTATGCCCTTTCAAACATGTGCTATCATTTCTTTTGGACATTAGTTTACATCATGTCATGCCATAATGTCAGTATTACACATCTTCTTGACCAAAGTAACAAAATAACAAACCACCAAAATGCTCAACTGGAACCTCTTTCAAGTTGGTAAGGACTCTATAGGTCCATTAATTCCATCCCTCCCCATCACCACAATCAGTCAATCACCAGATCCCCATTTTAATCACTTGCTACCCGAGGTATGAATCCTGACTGTGAATACTCACAAAGTAATAAAAAGCAATGCTCATCCCAGTGCATTTGGACCTTTTGTATTGAACAAGATGTCAAGTTAGGAGAGAAATGAGTTTGAAGAATATGGATGAATCTGAACAAATAAGATCTGCAGCAGTGCAATATGGAAATCGGATTGCAATACAGAATTCACCTAAGCTCACCATATTGCACTTCTGTATAGATATCATAGATTAAATGGGTATGTAACTCATATAAACTCAAACAAACCTGTAGAGGTTGCTGAAGTCAAACCTGTTGCCATGGAAATGCAAAAAAGTATTTATAGAAATCCAAAAATATCAAAAGGCATTGGTTCACAACCAGACCAGTCTATGTGCCAAATTTGGTGAAGAATCATTGAACAGTTGTAAAGTTCTGCTCCAGAAAAGGGCACCAAGACCAATTTCAGTCGAAGTCAAACTTGTTGCCATGGAAACGTAAAAAGTATTTTATTCAGTAATCCAAAACTACCAAAAGGCACCAGTTTACCACCAGAGCTATCTATGTGCCAATGTTGGTAAAGAAATATTTAACGGTTTTAAAGTTCTGCTCCAGAAAAGAGCACAAAGACCCAATTTCAGTCGAAGTCTAAGTTGTTGCCATGGAAACGCAAAAAATATTTCATTCTGAAATCCAAACTACCAAAAGGCACCAGTTCATCACCAGACCTATCTATGTGCCAAGTTTAGTGAAAAAACATTCAATGGTTTTTATGTTCTGCTCTGGAAAAGACGAATTTGCACGTGTTGAGGGGGATAAAAAGCTGTTATCAATTCACATTTTCCCAGGTACATGTCAACATACCCACCAAATTTACTTGTCAAAACATAGAAAATTGTAAAATATACAAATACATATCACATCATACATTATGTTATTTGACCTGGTTTATTATCCATAAATCACAGAATACAATGAACATTTGACTTGGTTGCTGGAAATAAAAACATGTTGTGTGAAAACAATACTGATTGTACTCAGTAATTTTGGAGAAGATGAATTCATTCTTCCACAGCAACAGATGTGACTGGATGAATAAATGGAAGAACGCTGATAACATGAGCCGTAGGGGTGGGTATTGCAGAGAATATTCATATAACGATATATTGCGATGCGAAAGCATGTATTGTGATTACATTGCAATATATTGCATGAAGTATATCTAAACAAAAAAACTACTTATAATCGAGTTACTGCTTGATTTATATATCAAAAACACAACAAAATCACTATGCTTGATTAAGCTTTAATAACAAATGTTAATCATGATAAAATAAAAATGTGAATAATATTTGGCACAAATGAAGCAAGGAAATATCCGAAGATTTCCGAATGTTACAACGTTTTCCAAATGCATGTCAAAATACCGGTTTTCGATCAGCGTATCGCAATACGTATCGTTTTCATGTCTGAACCGGTAAATACCGGTAAACCGGTTATATTGTGCAGCCCTAATGAGCTGGCAGTTATTCTGTCCTTACCTGAGAGCTAGTGAGTCCAAACAGCCTCTCCTTCAGAATGGGGTCCTTGCCGTTCCACAGGGCCAGACCGAAGCACATCCGACACTGTCGATCTGTGATACCCATGAGCCCGTCTTCACCCCAGCGGTACACCCGAGACCTAGCATGGTCATGGGGAAAGTATTCCCAGCTGTAGAAAAACCAAAACTGTCACAATTTTGTCCTACAAAACCAAATACCTGAGAAAAATCATGAAAGGTTTCACTTTTTTTGTCCTACAAAGACAATGCCTTCAGAAAATCATAAAAAACTGTCACCATGTTTTCAAAAAATATCCAATACCTGTCGAAATTCCTGAAAAACAGCCAACTTTATGTCCTAAAAATCTATGTAATACATAGAGGAATTAACATGGGAAATATCAACCAAGTGTTATTATTTGCGTAGTATTTGCCAAGGCTTTGTTGATATTTCCTATATTCAAAAACATGAGTGATGATTCTTATTTTCACATAACTGTTTCCCTATTAAGAAATAAATTAACATCAGAAACTGACAAAATCTTACAAATATATCGTACATAGTGATACATGTTTTCTGTTTCCAAAATAACCTCACTGTTTACTTGCTTTTGGCATGTTCATTCGCTGATAAAGTAGTTCTTCGCATTATTTAGAAAAAACATTGTAACAGTGTTTTGCAGAATAATTGAAACGTCAATATCGGTAGCAACCATGAGACCGAGCATGGCAACAGTTATGGGGGAAGTATTTCCAGCTGAAGAAAATCATTAGAAATTGTCCATTTTGTCCTAAAAAAAACGACATCTGTAGCAAATAATACACATTTGTCACCATTTTTGTGCCCAAAACCACAAACCTTTAAAAAAATCATAACAATTTGAGGTGAGGTGAGGTGAGGTTAAATTGGGTTTTACGTCGTGCTTGAGAATATTTCGCTCATATGACGACGTGCATGCGTGTGTATGTGTATGTGCGGTTGCTTGTACTAGCCCAGACTTAAGCTGGTTTTATAGTGCTAGCCCACTGAGATACCATGCCGCAGTGAAGAATGAATACCCCACTCGGACACATTATACTGACTCCGAGCCGACCAGTCCTTGTTGTACCCATTAATGCCGAGCGCCAGGCAGGGACCAACAAGTACCATATTTTAACATCTTTTGGTATGACGCGGTCGGGGATCGAACCCGCGACCTTCCACTCTCTGGGCGGACGCTCTAACCACTACACCACAGAAGCGGTTCATTACAATTTGAAAACAGAATCTTCAGTAACAACAATTTATCAGTGTCATTTGATTGATCTCTGGCATAAGTTCACTGATACTTAGCTTGAGAATGAAACTGCACTCACACAGAAAAGGCCCACTTCTGGTTATCTAATCTGCATACTTATGTACTGGATGAAACCTTTAATTAAATCTCTTTTTTTATAATAAATGGCCCGGAACCTTCCTCCATCAAAACTTCATTTGAGAAGGAACGTCATTAGCAGTGACAACGGTCATATTCAATCCACCCTTATAAACATCCCTATTTACTTTCTTAAATCACACAAATAAACAACATACATAAACATAAACAATATATAGTTTGCTGGAAATATCTCTTATTTCAATTACAGTTAACTATGTTTACAACAAGCTGGCAGGTATAATGTATGTTGTTGTGTCCTGGTCACTTGGGCAAAATGCACATAACCAATGAGTGAGTGAGTTAAAGTTTAAAATCACAGCGGCAGTATTTCAGCCATATAGTGACTACAAAATAGTCATAAAGTCATGATAAATATACAAATTTAATGCATATAACGAAAAACACAGTTATAATGAACTAAGGGACCGTTCATAGTTTATGGCTAGGTGGATGGTGATGAAGATTTTTATGGAGAAGCATGTACAATGTGAATGACCCCCCTAAAATTTATGTACAAAGTAAGTGACACACACACACACACTTGCCTGTCAAGTACAAAATCAATGACCCCCCACTCCCCATATTTTTTACGCATAATTCTTTTAATATTTTTGTGTATAAAATTGCTGAAATGAACATATTTTACAGAAAAAAAACCCTCAAAGTGAAAAAAATAGAATATAATGAAAAGGAGCCCTGAGACTATTTAGACTTGCCACATTTTCTAGACTTGCGTGGGATTTCTTGGATATATTTACTTGATGGTCTGTATGACAGACTTGGTGCTGGTAGACAAAGGTTTATATGTTGTGCACATACCAAGTGGAATAAAGCATGTACTGCCATGCTCCTCAAAGAAACAGACTGAGAATGCATCAAGAGGCTGCATGTTGTCATCCCCATACTTATCAAAACATCTGCATCCTCCATATCATCATCCTTCAGACTGTGTGGTCCTTGTGTTGTTCCGTCGGAGGGACAAAATTCCAAACCTAGCTACCGTCACTTGCTGCCAAGGCTGTGTTTACAGAAGCAATTGTCAAATTCCAGAGTTTTGTCAAACCAGCTGTACCATATTCCCCCATGTTAAGTACCTAGCTCTAAGAAGTGTCTCCTGAAAAACTTGTAGACCGATTTGCAAGTAATATATATATACTTGAAGTGTTCCATTGTCAAGATCACAATTAGTACAATGTATGTTTTTTATGAAGAGGAAGACTTTTTTGTGGATGTACAGCTTCTTTACTTCAACAGATACGATGTCTTGGTGTAGATATTAACAATATTATATCACTTGCTTGATAATAGTGTTAGACGATTTCAAGGAGGGGCCACTCATTTTGTTCTGGTAGGGTGGGTGTGGGGGTCAATTTTGTACACATCGCTCTCTCTCTCTCTGTGTGCGAGTGAGTGAGAGATAGAGAGAGAAATTTGAAATTTTGTACATAGAAATATTAATACAATATGCTAGGGTGGGGGGTGTCATTGATTTTGTACTTGACATGCAGAGTGGGTCACTTACTTTCTTCATATATTTCAGGGGGTGTCATCAACATCGTACATGCTTCTCCACCCCTTAGCCATAAATTATGAACGGTCCCTAACCATCCAATAATACTACAGGCAGTCACACTTGTGACTAAATCAAGCCCAACCCTGACATACATTCAAGTATGGGTTACCAGTACAACAGGAATGGCACAAATTCTTGTACACATGTGTTGGCAATTGTTGCTCACTCTAAGGGAGGCCAGAATCGTACTACAAAATCTCTGTACGAAACTGCTGAAACAATAATGGCGATGGCTGTCCGAGGTAAATAAGAAGAGTGTGTTTGCTTCATGAATCAGTCAGCTTTAGGATGACAGCCAGGAAAAATTTGGTCAGGTCAGCTCAGGTGAATCCAAGCAGTGTCTTACTTATTTATATTCATAGCGGGCTGTTGTCCAGAGTCAAGGTAGTTTTCACTGAGAGCTAAAGGAAAAAATATACCAGTGGTCTAGTGCTATAACATCAAAAGAGTCTCTTCAAATATAGTGTCGGTATGTGGCTGAAATACATCTGGTACAACATTAAGTTTTAATTCACAGCTTTGTTTATTTGTTAACGCTGACTCAGCAATATTCCAACTCTTATAATGGTGGTTAGTAGGTAATCAAGTCTGGACCAGACAATCCAGTGATCAACATGATCATCAATCTACGCAATTAGGATACAATGATATGTCAACCAAGCCAGCGATCCTGACCGCCCGATCCCATAAGTTGCCTCTTACGAGTCAGTGAGTGAGTTTAGTTTTACACCGCGATCAGCAATATTCCAGCTATATGGGGGCGGTCTGTAAATAATCAAGTCTGGACCAGACAATCCAGTAATCAACCGCCTCTTACGACAAGCATGGGTTGAAGACCAATTCTAACCGGATCTTCACAGGTAGACAGATGACTAATCCTGACTCTGGAAGCTCTCATGATTGACATTGATTTCTCTACACCAAGATAAATGTTCACAATTCAATATTTTAATGTTCAGTAGCCGAATAAGTAGTTCCAGGTATTAGTTTTGTCTTTGAATACATCAATAACAGTGTCTGCTTGAAAAGACCAAATTATTTCTTTTTCCCGCCATATGTAGTAGGGCTGGGACTGGTCCAATGTTTCTACCCGGGGTACCCCACCCCCTATTACCCTACCCTACCCTACCCTACCCAGATACCTGTTACGTTTATTCCTGACATCAAATCTGCAAGAAATGGGAACATATTCTTCAGCTCGGAGGCTAGTTCCTCGGAGTTTTTCAACATCTTAACCATGTATTATATTCAAGAGACGTGACTGTAAATTATGTATAAATCTTCAAAGACAATACAACCTTTTAATCATGAAAGAATAACATATTACACTGTTTAATCTATCAGTCACATGATCATAACGGCTGGGACGGGTACCTGGGTCCAACTCATTACTAGTGCTGGTATTGGCATACAACCTGCAATTCGATACAACACGATGCTAAAATTTTAGTCACGACGATATATTGCCAAAGTATTGTGCACTGAAGCTGCGATACGATACAAATCCCGATACAAGGGTGACGATACGATACGTATCACGATACTAAAATCTTTAATTCTAACACCAACTATAAAACACCTTAAGATCAAAACAAAACCATTTTAAAGTATTTCGTCAAATTCCGCCAGCGTTTTTCAATGTTCATTCGGGAAATGAGATAATTAAGTTTATACACAGACTTTGTGAACGTTAATAAAATGCGAGCCCTATCTTTGACACAGTTCCTGACACAAGAATTTCTGAGAAACATATGAAAGGAAAATCAGTAAGCATATATTTAATCATCAAACAAAAGTAAGTCTTTCTTGACAGATATCGCGATTTGGCAATTTTCAAAGTTAAACATCGATGTATCGTTGCCCATTTGAAGTATTGTATCGGGAGATACAACAATGTAAAACTTTGTATCGATTTACTGTATCAGCAGTCCATGGATCGATGCATCGATACGGAACGATGAATTATCACACAACTACTCATTACCCACCCGTCCTGGGTATCCGGGTTACCCGTCCCAGCCCTAATATGTGAATAAATCACAAAATGTTATCTAGAATCTTAATGCATCACCTCATCTACAGTTAAGTTATTGAACCAGAAACCAGTTTATTGTTGGCGTCACTGAAGTTCATATTCACCTGCACTGGACACTTTGTTGGGTCTTGTAACGCTAAAAACTGTCATCAAGGTATATACTGTCACTGACAGGTCTTAGTACTATATATATACTGTCACTGACGGGTCTTAGTACTATATACTGTCACTAACGGGTCTTAGTACTATATACTGTCACTGACGGGGTCTTAGTACTATATACTGTCACTGACGGGTCTTAGTACTATATACTGTCACTGACGGGTCTTAGTACTATATATATACTGTCACTGACGGGTCTTAGTACTATATACTGTCACTGACGGGTCTTAGTACTATATACTGTCACTGACGGGTCTTAGTACTATATACTGTCACTGACGGGGTCTTAGTACTATGTACTGTCACTGACGGGTCTTAGTACTATATACTGTCACTGACGGGTCTTAGTACTATATACTGTCACTGACGGGTCTTAGTACTATATACTGTCACTGACGGGTCTTAGTACTATATACTGTCACTGACGGGGTCTTAGTACTATATACTGTCACTGACGGGTCTTAGTACTATATACTGTCACTGACGGGTCTTAGTACTATATACTGTCACTGACGGGTCTTAGTACTATATACTGTCACTGACGGGGTCTTAGTACTATATACTGTCACTGACGGGTCTTAGTACTATATACTGTCACTGACGGGGTCTTAGTACTATCAGGGACCATATCTGGTCTCTGGTAGTATATACTGTCACTGACCCTGTCAGTGACAGTATATATACCTTGATGGCAGTTTTTAGCATTACAAGCCCCTGTCGGTTACACAATGATCAAACCTCAGATGAAAACTTGCTGAGAGGATCAGCACTACCTGATACCAGTACTCGGGAATTCCTGGTTTTATACAAATAACCATATATACATGCATGCTATGAGTCTAAAGGTTACAAGGGTCAATAAACACATGTTTATTTGTATATAGCTTCGAAATTCTGATTTCCGGGCATCTAATCGTGATTCGTCAAGCGCCACATCAGCAACTGTCGTCTGCTCAGCTGATCCTGTGCGTGCAGTCGGAGCACGCACGTGAGACTGTCAAAACAACCGGTGCGACACGAGACCTCGAGAGCAACATTGCACGAGATGCTCGAGACGATCGTGCACCTCGTTCGGACTGATGAAAGCATGTAAATCATTCTTACCAGTTGCCATCCTCGGAATAATCTTCCCTGACTGTGCTCCATTGCCTTTCGGACAAATACGCCCCCCCATCTTTTCCAGTTTTTACTTCTGAGTCTGTCTTCTTTCAGTCGTTTCCTTTCTGCTGCCATTTCTTTACGTACGGACTCATGAACTAGTTGTTGACATGTGGGCCCCGAATGTATTTATAGAACCGACCAGTCCCATTTCCCGAGTAGGGGAGACGGTGAAAAAGAATACAATAAAAAAGTGTGTTATGTATTGTAATATCTATGGTAGTTTTCAATATGTGGAGCTAGTGAATAAAGTCTGTATTACTTACAGGAACCGTAGCAAGTATATACATGTATATATCTTTCACACAGAAATAAATTGAACATGTACTTTTACCCTCCCCCCCCCCTGCAATTGATCTAATGTCAATCATGTGCAAGTTTGCATAAGCAGAAACTGACACTAGATGCGTCAGCAGAATCGTATTCGCAGCTGTCAAAATCACCACGTTCACAAAGCCACTGTATCGGTGACACATTAGGTTCTACATTCAGTTTTTGAAGATGTACTTCTTTACTCATTTTCCTACTCAAACCATGCATTCGTGAAAGATTCCATAATTTATTTCTATTTACCGAGTCAAATGCTTTCGAGAAATCTACAAAAAGCGGCATAAAATTTACCACCTGATTGTAATTGACATATATGAATAGAGATGAACATGCAATGTATGAACATTACATTACATGTTATTCATGACAACATGATGATATCATATGAATAAATTATATACATACACATGTCATTGTGATTGTGTTACCTTTCTCAAATGAAATACTTAACTGGGTTCTTCCATTTCTCTACCAAAAGGTAACAGCTTTATCGATTGCTGTGCATTAGACCGTAAATGTTGTTGATTTAAGCTGTCCAAGGAACGACTGCCTGAAGAATGGGAGATAACCTTATTCTCCTATGAAACACGTGTAATTGGTGGAACCTGAGTTCTACGTCCTAGCAAAACCCCGCACATATATGTCAGAATTTGCCAAATCAGCACTTAATGTCTCGTGTGCATGAGTTACATATGTTAGAGGATAATTTCCATTTTGAAATATTTTGTCCCGTTTATAAGAATCTAACGCAACGGTATCTCTATCACGATGTTCATTAGATCTATAGTCTTTTGCAATATGATGTCTTTACAAAACAACTGGGGCGGTGCGTTAGCCGAGTGGTTAAAGCGTTAACTCGTCCCGCCGAAGACCTGGGTTCGATTCCCCACATGGATACAATGGGTGAAGCCCATTTCTGGTGTCCCCCGCCGTGATATTGCTGGAATATTGTTAAAAGCGGCGTGAAATCATACTCACTCACTCACTCAGTGGTTAAAGCAGTCTAAGTAAACTTAGGCTCCGTATTATTCGTTACGTACACTGCTATACTCAGTATAGCTGTGTAACGAATAATACTGAGTCTAAGTTTACTTAGACTGTGCACGTGGTTAAAGCGTTAGATCGTCACGCCAGATTCTATTCCCTATATGGGTCAAACCCGTTTCTGGTGTCCCCGACTTGACATTGCTTGGATATTTATAAAAGGGGCGTAAAACTGACCTCACTCACACAGTATCACCATCATTAAAGTATACAGTTATTTGGAAACAACTGTCTACACAGGATATTTGAATGCACAATGTCATTAAAAACAATCCGCTTTCCTCAGGGACAATTGATGATCAATATCCTATCGACGAATCGACCAAATATCTTAATTACTGTTGTTTGGCTGTTAATCTATATTTTTCTTCTGTACTCTTAATAATAGCAGATACGTAAGTCCCCAAAAGTTCAAAGTCAATTAAAACTTTCTACAATTTTAATCGTAGAATATGTGTATTTTTTAAGTATGGCTAGATTATTCTAAATTGCTAACAGCTGAAGGGATGATGTGAATCCAGCTTGGGCCCATGCAGGAAGCAAATGTACTGTAAGTCCCCATGGTCCCTAGTATGGTGATCTACCTTCAGTTGTTGGAGATATGTAGCCTGTTTATTTCTTGTATTGTCTTCTACAGTTAAACGTTTTTAGCTTTTCATACTAGTTTTATCTCTATATCTGTGATGCTCTAGTTATTTTACTGTCCATCGTGGACAGGTTTTATAATTTGACTTTTTTTATTAAGGCTTTATTTATTATTCTACTCCTCGTCACGATATGGCTGCAATATTGCCGATGTGACGTTAAATTTAACTCACTCACTTAATAAAAACAGGGGGTGATATTATTGGGGAACTAACTTGTATGATTGTATGTATTTAGAAAATGGTAGTTCCATTCAGAACGTGTTATAGATTTCGTGGAAACACGCCAAGTTTCACGAGGTGCCCGTAAACATGGTCGGTGTAAAATCTTCGACATAATGCGTAATTTCGCACAGGGAACGAAACCGTGGACGACTGAGTTAGAGAGTGTAGTTTTACGCCGCTCTTAGCAATATTCCAGCAATATCGCACCATAAATGAGCTTCACACATTGTACCCATTGTACCCTTCTCATAGTACGTGGACGTGGGCTTTACACAGCTTCAAGAGTTACTGTGAGTGGGCAGAACGTTAATTACTGGCCTCACACATGGATCAAGCGTTCGAAATTAGCGTCGGTCATTAGGCCCGAAGCCGACTGAAAACCACACGGACCCACAGTTTGTTTTCTGTAGGTCCTTATTGACGACAGCTTTTTTCATTACCAATAACTAAGAGTATAGTATTTTCAGAAAATACCATTCAGTAATTTCTAGTTTTTATGTCGATCAGCAGCTGTTGTCTGTAAGTGACACGACTATCATTTTCGAGGAAACAATTTAGATTACAGACTTTTCAGAAGACTTGAATCTCGACATGGATGTTGATTTTGTTGTAATCGAAGGGTAGTCAGTCACTAGAGTTAAATTAAACTCTTTAACTTGGTTTGTTAATTATCACTTATATTGTAGCTAAAACATAGGGCCTACACATTCTGATCATGACCACAACATTTTATCGTTCTGGGTCCTTAGGGCCTGCAGCTTTTCAAGGTTGGGGGCGAACTCTGCATGGGACCTGTATGCCCGACGTCCACGTGTATCCCACGACTGACTGACCTTCACATCACTGCAAGACCTCGTTGGTGCCAACACGTTGATAGTAAATGACGTGATCAATCGTCTAGCAAAATCTATGGTCAACGGCTAATGCGAATCTCAGTCAGCTGTTACTGTTAAACTGTTCATCTCATTCAAAATACAAAATATTAATAGCTGTGACACCCTTTAGTGAATATTCCCTATTTTTAAGTAGTATATATCACATACAGACAACTAGAGTTCACTGACTGTGCCAATAATCAGATACTCTCACCCACTTCATTCAACTATATATGAGAAATTATACCCAACATATCGGTGAACAATCGTAACTGGTGATAAATATATAATAGGACTGTCATCCAATCTGACCCAGTTGGTTATTTTATATGACTGGTTATCATATGAAAAATGCCCACAGTAATCGGATGGAGTTTACTGTGTCTAGCTCACCTGACTGAAAATCAATTGGGTTATGCCAAGGCCTGTTTATTCCCCCCATCTTGCGTACGTGCATTTCCCCCTGAAACCTCACATGATTGTTCACCTAGCATGATACAACTGGAACAACTTCTTTTCAGAAACCCGTAAAGATCCGGGTTAGAATTGATCTTCAGCTACCCATGCTTGTCATAAGAGGCGGCTAACGGGTCGGGTGGTCAAGCTCGTTGAGTTGGTTGATGCGTGACATCGTATCCAAATTGCGTAGATCGATGCTCTTGATTTCAGTCACTGGATTGTCTGGTCCAGACTTGATTATTTACAGATTGCTGTCATATAGCTTGAATGTTGCTGAGTGCGGCGTTAAACCACAAGGGGCGGTGGGGTAGCCTAATGATTACAGCGTTGGCTCGTCACGCCGAAGACCCGGGGTTCGAATCACCATATGGGTACAATGTGTGAAGCCCATTTCTGGTGTCCCCCGCCGTGGTGTTGCTGGAATATTGCTAAAAGCGGCGTAAAACCAAACTCAGTCAGTCTACATTAATAAAGGCATGTCGGTGCAAAAAAGTTCATTTCAACAGGCTGTCTTCCAGCAACATCACGGCGGGGGACACCAGAGATGGGCTTCACACATTGGGCCCATGTGGGGATTCGAACCCGGGTCTTCGGCGTGACGAGCCAACGCTTTAACCATTAGGCTACCCCACCGCCCCTATTAATATGGAAGTAACTGATAAAGCATGATAATATATTCTATGATGGTATATGTTATTGAAAACTGGAAATGCCACAGACTAATGGCCATGCACGTTCCTATATCTTAAAACTGCCAAGGGTCACATTGATAACGAGCATCGGACATAATCCGGGACCAGTATCTCTAAAGCTAATAGAACCAAGGTTCAGTACGTTTATCTGCATTGTGTGTTTATATTCCTCATATAGCTTCGTGGCATACTCGAAACTTAAATCGATGCTTAAATGACATAATCTCAAGTTCACAATAACAACGTTATCGTAAGTTTTATCAGTAGATAGAATAAGTATATAATACGACGACAGTCACAAATCGTTCGGTGGCGGTCTGGTAAATTTATTCAGGTAAGAAACTGCTTTCTTCGATTCCCCACATGAGTACATTGTGTGAAGCCCATTTCTGGTGTCCCCCGCTGTGATATTGCTGGAAAAATGCTAAATGCGGCGTAAATCTAAACTCACTCACTCACTACAATAGATTAAAGTTAACATCTAAAGATTTGTCAAAGTAGAGTGAGTGAGTGAGTTTGGTTTCACGCCGCTTTTTAGCAATATTCCAGCAATATCACGGCGGGGGACACCAGAAATGGGCTTCACACATTTTACCCATGTGGGGAATCGAACCCGCGGGTCTTCGGCGTGACGAGTGAACGCTTTGACCACTAACTACCCCGCCGCCCCAAATCTATTATAAATACCTTAACGATATGTTACGACCCTTGGCAATTCCTTGAGGTCTATGTGGAACGGGGCAGCCTCTCATATATTTCTGTTTAGGATTGTTATTTAATACTGATTAACACCACGCTGTTTTGTGACTATTATAGATTGTATAAAGTGTGTCGGGTACTATTACATTTCGTTGTGAGCACTATGCTGTTGTTTGACTCAGCTCTTGGAGATCTGACTTTGGTGCTAGTTCAGGGAAATCTGAATGGGTACTTCGACCAAATTCTTCAACGTCATTTTCTTCCGATAGTGGAGGGGCTAAACATTTGCACATTTATTGACTGATGCATAATGAACATTTTCAAATATGGATGCACTCAACATTATTTCATTTTGCGCATGCGCAGAAGGTTTGTTTGTTGTTAGCAAACAGCAAAATTCCTGCTTCCGGTCTGTAAATAATCGACTATGGACCAGACAATCAAATGATCGACAGCATTAGCGTCCATCTACGCAGTTGTCAGCGAGCCTGACCACCCGATCCTGCTGTCAAACCCGAATCTTCATGGGTCTAAAATTTCACATCCAACAC